TGGATTTTAGAATATTAAATTTTGCTTTGCCTAAGTTCAGGTCAATACTTTCAGATAAAGGTGTAGTAAAGTATCAAGTCACAAATAGGTTTATAAGAGTAATCTTAGCAGGAAATTAGTGAAATTTTAGCCTCCCCCTGTTTAAGCTGGAGACAGCATCATTTTATTTTCTTGTTAGTTGTACAAATTTATGGGGTGCATGTGAAATTTGGTTGTATGTATAATGCATAGTGATCACTTCAGGGTATTTACAGTTTATTTGTGATAATACAAAATGGCTTCTCTCTAGCCACATACCTCCATCGATGGCTGCTATACTATGTGATAGCCAGCACATAATCTTTACCAGTTCTATACAATTCCAGAAGTAGTCTCTCTGATTTTTTTTACATCTACTCTGTCTTCATTGGTATCTTTTGCTTTTTGAACACTTCAAAATTTTATTTATTTATTTCTGACTATTACAGGGGTATACACGTTTTGGTTTTCTTCTAAGTGAAGTATCACAAGAATGGAAAAACAAACACCACATGTATTCATTGGTATTCTTAAGGGGCTTTGTATTGTGACTTTCCCACTTTTAATACACACTTAATTTCTTTACTAAACTGAAGTTTCGATTTTTGAAAGGTAATTCATCTGTAGTACATTTATGAATGTAAGTTACCTTGTGCTAGGCAGAGATGTTCTTCCTGCCTGTCTATATTAACGATGTTTTCTTTCATATATAAAATGGCTATAAACACTTTAAAGCTAGGTTAGATTTCATTTTAATTTTATTGACACAAATGTCATGAAGTGTTGTTTGAAACCAAAAATAATAAACAGCATCTCACTGCCCTTGGTAAGAACCTAAGAAAATACAGGTGTCAGATCTAAGCCAGGGATGAGACAGTGTGAGTAAAAGAGTCTCTTAGATTCAAGTCTTCACTTGCATGAGGTAAGAGCAATGCATATAATAAGTTCACATAATTAATCTGAGAAAATTACATATTATTCTAGCTCATATATGGCTGAGGTAGGTTTAGTGAGATTGGTGGGTAGGCTTAGCCTGATTGCATTCTTGGAGGCACTGAGTAAGTTTACGTTTTCTTTTTCCCAGACAGTGATTTTTTTCATTTAAACAGTGGGTAAGCTGAAGGCAAATATGATCTTTGCAGACAGAGAAGCTTCTGAGAAGAATGAGTTTCCTGCTGTGGTCTTCCTAGATTCATAAGATCTTGGAAGTGTCTGTATCAGGGGTTTCTGTTCTCTTTTCCTGTATGCCGGGGATCCAGGTCTCCTCATGCTGTTGATTAGAGGCAGCCTAATATAGGGAAGGAGCACTGTACTTGGATTCAGGGTGATGCATAGATGGCATTCTCCTATTGAATGGTGTTGAAGAAAGCTGCATTTGAAAATTTAAAGACAGTCGCTTAATACTAAAAACTAAAAGAAATAAAAGCTTTATGTTGAGCATATTAGGCAGATTCTACTTGATTGTAGTTCACTATTGTTCTGCTTTAGAAGTGTGAGCAAGTGAGGTATAATATCAGTCTTAAGATCAGCTGAGATTTTCTTTTCATAGCTGGTCATATGCCATGGTTTTAGGACTCAAAGGCTAAGGCCTTTATGCTTTTATGCCTTAAGTTAGGGACAAAAAGGATAGAGATGTCACAGCCTTCTGGACATTTTTCATTGGCTTCTAGGGTTTTTCGCTGTGATTTGTAGAAATGGAAATCAACTATTGAACTTTCCCCCCACCTGTACCTCCTTACTTTCTGTCCCCAAACACTCACACTAATTCTTTAGATCTATTACTTGGAAAATTATGAGATTGGCCCCAAAGGAGATGGAGAGGCAGAAACATCTTATTGGGAAACCCCAAAGATGTGATTTCTGCTCTACTACTAGAGAGATTCTGGGACCTTTTGGGGAAAGTGCTAGATTTGGAGGAAACAGATTAAAGGTGGATCAACTCTTCCACTCATACTGTTTGAGTCTACACAAAGTGTTTCCCAAGTAGGTCCTAACATGTTTCCTTTACTTTCATATTTTTCAGCCTCCCAGGAACATATGCATGTTGAATGATGGCAGGGTATCCAATGGCAGCACTGAGAGTTTGCAGGGAAAGGGCAGAGAAAGGGCTTTGAGAAACCCTTCATTTTGCAGAGGTGGCCTTGGAAGCTGATGTGGAACTGTGTTGGAGTTTGCAGAAGCATTGTTCTATCTATGCAGAAGGCACTTGTCTTGTTGGTTATGTCATTCATTTGTTATTTGGTTCCAACTCTGCAAAATTCTGAGTGTTTCATTCCCCAACACCAAAAGGGTGCTGAAAAATGTCCATCTTAAAGATAAACTGGCAAATTATGTCCAGGTACACTGAAGAGGTCTTATCTTTAGTTGGCTTTTAAGTATCTTAAATGAGGTTAAGGGCCATGCCTAGAGTTGTGTTGAAATCTTGATTCAGCTTGGATTAGATCTGTGACATTTAACTGCTTCCAATGCCTTTTCTCCAAATGATGAAGTATACAACCAATTTAACCATTGACTCCTTAAGCCTTCTACCTTGTGCCCCTTCACCAGAGAACCTTTGATGAATGAGGCAGAGCAGTATCTTGCTTTGCTATGCCATTTACTCTTTAAAAACAATCAAGAAGCAAATATAACACACCAAAAAAAAAAAATAGAAATACAAGTGTACAAGGAAGGTATGTTATATATAGACTAATGTCAGGCAAGATCATGAATTGCAGAATTCTTTCCCTGCAAAAAAAGCAGTCATAGCATACATTTTCAACTTTTTTTCATGCATATATGTATGTGTATATATATATATATATATAGTATATATAGTCCTTTGCAATATCCTAGTCTTCCCGCCTCCTCTGATCCTGCCCCAAGGTTTTCTGTAAATGTTAAGCTGCTCATATTTTGATGCATTGTGCAAAGTGATGAAATTTTTCATTAGGTCATCCCATGTAAGAATGTAACATAAATATATATGGATCTAGAAAACTAGGGCTATAAACCAGACACTTTGATTTAATGTTTTCCAATGGACAGGCCGAAGTCAACCCTGGGTCCATTCTTTGGTGAAGCCTGTGTAGAAAGCCCCTCTGAGAGCCAAATTGATGCCTTAACCTTAATGAACTTGACCTGAAAAGAGAAAGGCATGTCTCCCAATAATTATGAATTCTAACTGCTGAGATTTTTTTTCAGAGTTTAATGATCGGCATTTTATTTTTATTAATGGTACTTAAAATATTTTTTTTATTTCAGAATATTATGGAGGTACAAACATTTTGATTACATATGATGCCTTTGCCTCATCCAAGCCAGGGCTTCAAGCTTGCCCTTCCCCCATGCAGTACACACTGCATCCATTAGTTGTGAGTTTACCCAGCCCTCCCCCCCCCCACCTGACTGGTACCCAGTGAATATTAAAATGTGAGCACCTTAGTTTTGATCAATTAGTACCAATTTGATGGCGAGTACATGTGGTGCTTGTTTTTCCATTTTTGTGATACCTCACTTCGAAGGGTAGGCTCAAGCTCTATCAAGGATAATATAAGAGGTGCTAGTTCACCATTGTTTTTTGTAGTGGAGTAGTATTCCATGGTATACATATACCACATTTTATTAATCCACTCATGAATTGACGGGCACTTAGGTTGTTTCTATATCTTTGCAATTGTGAATTGTGTTGCAATAAACATTTGAGTGCAGATATATTTATTATAGAATGACTTTTTTTCCTTTGGGTAGATGCCTAGTAGTGGGATTGCTGGATCAAATGGTATTTCTCTTTTAAGGTCTTTGAGATATCTCCAAATTACTTTCCACAGGGGTTGTACTAATTAGCAGTCCCACCAGCAGCATAAGAGTGTTCCTATCTCTCCACATCTATGCCAGCATTTGTTGTTTTGGGACTTTTTGATAAAAGCCATTCTCACTGGAGTTAGGTGATATCTCATTGTGGTTTTGATTTGCATTTCCCTAATGATTAGACATGTTGAGCCCTTTTTAATATTTGCTGGCCATTATTCTGTCTTCTTTTGAAAAGTTTCAGTTCATGTCCTTTGCCCACTTCTGATTAGTGTTGTTTGAATTTTCTTAAGTTCTAAATAGATTCTTGTTTTTAGCCCTTTATCAGATGTGCAGCAGCTAATGAGATCCTCTATGATAAGGTTAAAGTAATCTATGAAAGATTTCTTTATTTTAAGAAATATTGCCCTAATAAAACTGGAGACAAAGATAAAGAAGGATGGCTAGTTGGGTCTAATTAATAATGCCCCACATATGACTGATGTGTGCATAGGGCCAATTGAAGCCTATGGGTCAGGTGGAAAGAAAAAAGATCTCAGTATATTCCTTCTGATGGGAAATCAAGTCATGGAAATGGCATAGTGAGGAGATTGGCTAGCAGGACTTGTGATCAGAAAGAAGGGATGTGATTGGTTTGCAAAGAGAGTATGATACCAATCTAAATTTAAATTAAGCCCTGTGTATCAGTGATGGGTAGGGTAGAAGGGTGGTTGGAAGTGCTATTGCTCAAAAATATGGCCGAGTCCTCTTAGATATACTGACTGTTGGATTCCCTGCTTTACCTCCATTCTATCTTCTGCTGAATCCAGTTTCAAACACAGGTGATTTTTAGCAGGAGCTGTTGATAAAATTGCTGATTCTCAGCACCTTGACACCCAGGATAAACTTTTTAAAAAATATATTTTTTCATCATAACGTATTTCCCTTTAGGTTTTTTGTTTTGTCAGCAGTGGGAACAGCAACAACAATTTTAAAAGGATAGTACATAGGAGAAGATCTACAGCCTTTTAAAAATCCAATTCTTCACACTTGTCCCAAAAGGCAATAAAGGACTATCTAAAAGTGCCATTTCCCAGAAGGGCCTGTGGATACCTAAGAAACCAGAACACTGGGGAGTAACAATGATTCCTGGGAAAAGCTGATGAAATTGATGTGTTTTTGTTTTTGTTTTTGTTTTTGTTTTTTCCAAACAGATCAGAATGAAGGATTTCATTGCAGGGAAGAATGCCGGATTCTTGGCCACTCTGACAGGTGCTGGATGCCCCGCAACCCGATGCCGACCCGCTCCAAGTCTCCTGAGCATGTGAGAAACATCATCGCGCTGTCCATTGAAGCTGCTGCTGCTGATGTTGAGGCTTATGACGACTGCGGCCCCACCAAACGGACTTTCGCAACCTTTGGGAAAGATGTCAGCGACCACCCGGCTGAGGAGAGGCCCACCCTGAAAGGCAAGAGGACTGTCGATGTGACCATCTGCAGCCCCAAGGTCAACAGCGCTATCCGGGAGGCCGGCAATGGCTGTGAGGCCATTAGCCCTGTCACCTCCCCCCTCCACCTGAAGAGCCCTCTGCCCACCAAGCCTTCCGTGTCTTACACCATTGCCCTGGCTCCTCCGGCGCGTGATCTGGAGCAGTATGTCACCAACGTCAACAATGGCCCTTCTCGTCCCTCTGAAGCTGAGCCCCGTGGAGCTGACAGCGAGAAAGTCATGCATGAGGTCAAGCCCATTCTGAAGGAGGGTCGCGACAAAGAGTCCCCTGTCGTGAAGCGTCTGAAGGATATCGTTCTCTAAACCAGTTCCGGGGAAGAAGAGAGAGAAACCACGCTGGCTTGCGAAGAAGCAGGAGCTGCTCATTTTAATTGCTCACCAATGGTTGGTTCTTGAGTGGCTGTATTTCAGAGCTTTCTCTAAATGTATTGTTTATAAATGACTATCATTCTGTGACAATCCCTCTCGTTTCAACAGGCAGCAGGGGTGTTCAGTTGGAGCAAATTAGCTTTGGCTTGAGTTGTTCATGGGGCCTTGATGTTGGGGAAACAGAGACAAATTCAGTTGTGAAAAGTATTATGTATTAAGTGTTTGAATTTATATATTTTTCTATGTCAAAACTATAATATAAATTACCATTGTTTGTGGAGGATTACATTAAAAAAGCAAAAAAAAAAAAAAAAAAAAAAAAAACCTCTGGACACCTTTAATAAGCTCGCCACTGTTTTTTGTAGTGTAGACAAGTTAATGGTCATTTATTGTGTACTATTCATTGATTCAGTGATGTGAAATTGAGCCCCCAAAAGGTTGTTTCTGAAGCTCGAGTACTTTCCAATGCCGCTACTTTGCTGTGGACACCCCTGCTTTAAGAACCCTTTTGCTAGCTGTGCTATTGTTGTATTTGATATTGCAAATTGCTACGTGTGTGGTGATGGCAAAAGGCTTTTAAAGATTGGTGTTTTTTTCTTAAAAAAATAATAAAACTACAGACAAAAACAAAGCTCAAACAATTGAAACGGCAAATGAATGAGCAACACCACACGTACAGATTGAGTACGTGGAGAATACTCACGGTTTTTAACCCATGTAGTGATTGCTCACCACCTTGTGAAGTATTTTTCCTGCCTTTCAGTCTTCTGCCCAGGTCCATGATAGATCATTGCAGAAAGTCATTTTTGGATATGCTGCTATCTAATTTGCAGTTGTCAGAAATACTGTGCTGAAAGTTTTATGAGATCCATTTTTCTAATTTTCAGGCCCTGAACAGGAAAGTTGCTCCTGAAGTTATCAGTTTCCAGGCTTAGAAATTCCCTGTCTACAATAATCTAAACCTCGAAACAACTGAATCTATTTTGAGCTCTAAATTAGCATCCCTTCAGAAACACACTTCCTGATTCAGTGTTTCCCAATCACTATTAGAATTAGACTGCAAAGCACGTCATGGGCTGGAATGGAGAACTCCATGTTGCTCTGTATCTTAGACTTATAAATAGGGATAGAGTAAGCAGTACAAAGTGTACCTTTTGGAAAAGACAGGTAACAGGTAACAGAATTGCTGATCCAATTACTGTGCCTTCTAAATGGAGACACTTAGACACTTGAACTCGTCTTTTTATGACTAATACTTTTTTTGATTAAAAATGTGAACAAGAGACTATTAAAATAAAAATCCTTTTGATTTAGCTAACTCTTTTTGCTGTAGGCTAGGAATATACCTTTTTTTAAATTAACAAACTGTACATTCTTCTTTTATGTTTTCACATTGTTCTAACTCCCCCATTCATTGTTTCTCTATTAATATTCACTAGCCAACATAGTATTCTTGCAGCGTAAGAGCTCATTATTTAAAAATAAAGAAATAATGTCACCTTTGCTCTACTTTTGTCATGAAAGAGTTGTTTCTAGAGAAACAAGTTTTGTGGTTCTGTTCTCATTTGTTTCATTTTTTGAAATTCAAGGGTACCCAGAGAGAAGGCCTGGAGGTTAGAGCACTCGAATGCAAAAGAAGATTTATTTTCTTAAGTTTAGGTAGATAAGTCATCTTTTTAAAATGTTTTAGTTATTTTTGCCTGAGTTCCTAGCTTTATACATTACTAGGAATATTTTCTTTTATGGGAGGGAGAAGGGTTTTGAGGGTGGGGTGGGAGGTTGGGTAAGACAGTGGGGATGGGGTTAGGTAGGGGAGAACATTTCTGTAAAAGAGCCTATAGTGAAGCTACAAATCCATCCTTTTCTTATTCAGTGCTGAATACTACCTCATGCAAAAATATTGGTGTGGCTGAAAATTTTCCTCTGACACAATTAGGGATCAATTACCATAACATCTTCATTTTGCCTTATTTCATTCTCTCTCATACACTTTTCTCCCCTCTGATTTATTTTTTTTTTCAGTAATGGATTTTGAATTAGGTATTTATTTCTCTTTGCAAGTGACTATTTGATTAGCACATTAAAAATAATTTTTTCTGCTTTAAGTTATAATGGCAGCCTATAGAATTTAGACTGTTCCTCATCCTGATCCATCCTGATATTATGTTGTTAGCTATCACCTCAAGGTCACTTTGAAGTCAGATTTGACAGTTTTCTACAGGTGTATTTCTTACTGTACTCAGTGGGAACGAGGGAGCTGAAAAGATTGTGGAAAGTGGGAACATTAAATGTCATGTGGCTGTTGAGCCAGAGAGGCCACTGGCTGCCATGCCTCTTACCAGCCAAGTTTCAAATGGTTAGAGTAGCAGTCGCATTGATTTTGCTTTTCTCTTGGGTTTTCTTTTCTTCATGTTTTTTTCCAGAATCCAGCTTCAAGCTATAGATCCATTCTTTCTCCCTATCCAAATACTTTGTTCTCAGTGGGCAGTCAGAGATTTTTTGGCTTCCAAACCTCACTGAGCATGTTCAGAGAATTCGTCTCATTAAGAAAATATCTTTTCTCCCCTACAATTGTCTGATGTATGCGTCCTCCCAGAAGCACAAGTGCATCCTAGGAGGGCTTTGTAAGCTGGTTTTGTAGGCAGGCTGTGCCTGCAAATAGGCATTCTGTGCAAGGGTCCTAAATTTCCCTTTGGCACGAGTCTTTCCCCCCTCCTTTTAGCATGTCTGATGAAAAGCTACAAGGGCCACAGAGCCAAATATTCTTCATTTTACCATTCTAAACATGTTACACTCTTAAACACAAGGGAGCAATTTTGGTTCCTAAGTCCTAGGGAGTTCAATTCTATTTATTCTGATGTCCCGTTTGAGGAGGACTTGATGAAGTGTGACATGCTTTACTAACAAGTGCTTTTCGCAATTCTCTGAGCAGGTAAACTTCAGGCAATATAAGGGGCCTAGTTTGCATTGATTGACTGCTTTCCTCCAAATGTGGGGATATACTATATGACAAAGAATAGGGAAAAGGGAGCCATACTTTGTGGAATCTCTTTTTCTTTTCCCTATAGTGACTAATCTATGAACCTGTTCAGAATGAAATTTACCATCGCTTTGATTCTCTTAAAGCCAGTAGACTAAATTCTGGCCCACCTCATTGCTGAGATAGATAATGGGCCCCCAAAGCATCCTGCAGTTCCTGCAGAGCAGTGGCTCGCAAAGTGCAGTCCCTGGACCAACAGCAACAACATCACTGGAGAACTTGGTAGAAATGCTGATTTGCTGTTCCCTCCTTGATCAATTGAATCTGAAGCTCTGGGAGTGGGGCCCAGAATTGCATATGAATCAGATGCCCAGCTAAAGGTTGAAGGATTGTTAAAGCACAGATTGATGGACCCCCACTCTTAGAGTTTTTGATTCCATTGGTTCCGGTAGACACGCCTGAGTCTCTGCATGTCTAAAAATTCTGAAGTGATACCGATGTAACTGACCCAGGGACCACGTTTTGAGTATCACTGCTCCAGAGTAAACCTGCCTAATAGAGCTAATTGCACCTCAGGTGCTCATTGAAACATTCGTTCACTTGGTGACTTGCTGATCACTAATCAGCAACGTTAAATGTTAAACTTGCTGATCACTAATCAGCAATATTAAATGTAAAATGTTAAATGAAATACAACTTAGAACTCTGAAAATTGGAACCATCCAGAGTATCATCCTAATAGTGTTACTTCAGCATACAACTGATTGTATGAAGGGAAAGAAATGAGTTGGCTTTTTCCTGTAGCCCTATAATATCTTTAAAAGCGAAACAGAAGTGGTCCACTTGAAGCAGAAAGACAAAGGGCAGATTTGGGAGAGGCAGGAGAGAAGGGGATAGCTCAATTGGGCATCCGGGGTGGAAAAAGAATTATTGTATATAATAGCAGTTCTGGCTGGAATTCCAATTCACTTTATGGGGATCATTTTGATGTTGAATGTTCCCCAAAGCATTCTGACAAGTTTGGTCCACTTGGCTCTTTACCTAGGGCAATAAGACCCTTACTGACTTTGTAAAACTGGCATAAATGAGCTTAAGAAGTCCATTGTATACAGTCCTAGTGTTTGCTTTCTTGGTAAAATTACATTTAAGGATGTCATTTCATGAGTCAAATTGTATCTGCTGACACTGAAGTGTATTGAGATGTTGTTCTTTAGTTTAAGTATGTAACAAAGTAATATTCAAAGGGGATGTGTGGGGGTGGGGCTGGGACTGGGTGGCTTTATATTGATAATGAAATATTCCAGAGCAAAACACATTGTCCAAATGAAGTTGTTGCAGCTCTCTTTGTTTTCTTGTGAGGCTGGAATTGGCCTGTGGGTCACTTGTTGTGCAAAAGTGAATAATTTGAAGTAGGAATCATGTTGCTTTTGTAAAACGAAGAAAATCAACCACCTTGTCTGAAATATATATTGTAAGGTGCGCTCTTGGTAGAGGACAACCCACAAACACCTGATCTTGATTGGAAAGCATTGTAGGTCATTAGGGAAAACTAATGATGCTGACTGTTGCTCCAGCTGTGTTGGCAATTAAAGATGACCTTGTTACTAACTGAAAGTTGCTGTCAACCTTAGCAAACAAACCAGCTAACACCATTACAGCACTGGTTAAGTAGATTTTTACTGGCACTGGCTGGCGTTCAGCTGAGGAAGGCTAGGATACAGACTTTAATGACCAAGAGCCAGACTAGCTCAAGCTAGAAATTGGGCAACAAATACCTCCTTGTGCTATTTGAATGCTAAGGTATTAGTTGCAAAAGGCTTACGCCTTCGCTCCTCTAGTGAGGGGAATGAGCCTGATGACACTATTACTGTTTACCTGTCAAACCAGGGTGGAAATTTAGAGGGATGCAAGTACAGTATGTTTCATTAAGCAGTCTCTGTTGCTGATTATATGAAGATGAAATTGTTGTATATGCTGATCTGTATGTTATGTACATTTTCACAGTGATTGAATCATTGTAAAAAGAAAAAAGACAAAAAAGAATCACCACTCTATTTTATGAAGATGATAAAGCAGCTTTATTAAATTATTACAGTTGTGTTTTAATGGTGTTATCTGCCACATTGTTTCCTTTTATCTGGTGATTCTCTGTTTCCCTCTTTAAATGTGTTTTCTCTGCTTCAAAAATTTAATGCAT